CCGCGTTTATGATTTATAAAGGAAAAAAATACAAAATGAGCGAATTTCCGTACAATAAGTGTATATATATAATTGATATTGATAATGATATTGGCCTTACTATATAAAAATAAGGTACATAAATAAGGGTAGTTTTAGCTTAATTAACCTTTAATGGAGATATAGTTACTTTGTCAAATAAGCTGAAACTACGCTAAAAAAAATTTTATATGTCTGATATTTTCGATTTTGGAATTGGAAAAAAAATAATTTGCTTTGGGACTTCTGATACTTGGAAATTTTACGATTTGCTTACATATAGGGAAGTAAAGATGTCTACAGATAGTTCGCCGATTAAATTCGGAGAATATTATGATATTTTGTCTTATTAATCGGTCATTATTTTTGGAAATATCGTGTATGATATATCTTATGATAAAATTTTAAATAGAGTCCGTGTAATCTAAAGAAAGGATTAAAAAAATAAATATTACACACTTCCTATAATAGACCATAGGTACAGATATTTTTTTTCAAAAGGAAAAACTTTAATTGCGGATGATGAAAATCATGATGATAAAAATGTCTACTTATATTCAATTGAAAATATAATTTGTAGAGATACTGAGCATATAACTAGTAATCTAAAATGTGTTTAATGCAAAAATAATGAATATTTTAAAGATGATATATGTTTAGGTTGCCCACAAGGAACTTTTTTTGAAAATAATATATGTATTGCATGTATGCAAGGATGTATATCATGTGATAATAAAACTACTTGCATTATATGTGATTAAGGTTATTATAAAAATAATTTGAACGAATGTAAACCTTGTAATATTAATTGTAAAACTTGTCAAAATGATAATCCAGATATATGTGCTTCTTGTAATTCACCTAAAGTTTTACAAATAAAAAACTAAACATGTGTAGATGCTTGTGATAGTAATTAATATTTAGATAATACTCAAATTGATATACCTAAATGTAGGGATTGCGATATTTTATGTCTTAAATGTGTAGACGCAAATTCTTGTTAACTTTGTGTAAATGGCAATTTTTTTAATACAAATACTTTGAAATGTGAACCATGTGATGCTTAGTGTACTACATGCCAAAACGGTACTGATAATACTAAATGCCTGTCCTGCTCACCTCCTTTATATTACCAATAACTGGAAAAAAAATGCGTTAGGAATTGCAATTAAGGCTAATATGCGAACACTTAAAGTAGTCTATGTGAATTATGTGATCCGAATTGTTAAACTTGCAAAGATTCAAAGACTTCTTGTCTTACTTGTAATAATAATTAATATTTATAAACTAACTAAACTTGCAAAGATATTTGTTTACCAAAATAATATCCGGATAATACGAGAAAATGCTAGCCGTGTAATGCATCATGCTTATCATGTATTAATAATACTTCATGTTCTACATGTGCTGATGATAATTATTTAAATCCTTTAACTTAATTTTGCTCACCTTGCTCCGCTAACTGTAGAACTTGTGTTAATAATGCTGATACTTGTACATCCTGTATTAAGGGCTAATATTTAAATACTGATACTAATAGATGTGAACAATGTAACGCAAACTGTGTAGCGTGCGAAACGGACCCACTAATGATTAATGTACGGAATGCTACTTAATAATTTTCTCACTTAAGACAGAAAATGCGTTATTTCTTGTTATAAAATTAATATGCAGATGCTTTAAGGACATGCTAATAATGCAATGCGACTTGTCTTACATGTTAAAATGCTATTTCGTGTAACACATGTAATGCGGGATATTATATAAACACAAGGAGTAATTTATGTGAAAAATGTGATGATAATTGTCAAACATGTGAAAATGGAATAGTAAATAATTAATGTATTACATGTAATAATAATTAAGTTCTTTTATAAACTAAAAAATGTGTCGATAATTGCGATAATAAATAATATGAGGATTTAAATAAAAATTGTTAGTAATGTGATCCTACGTGTCTTACTTGTTCGAATTCTAATACATGTGATACTTGTGAGGAAGGATCATACTTAAAAAGAAGTACATAAAAATGCGAATTATGTGACTTAAATTGTAAGACATGTATAGAAAAGGGCAAATGTGTATCTTGTAAATAGAATTATTTTCTAACCTAAGATTAATAATGTAAACTTGAATGTGATTAATCTTTTTTTCCCGATTCTTAAGGAAATTGTTTACCATGTGATTCTAATTGTTTAAATTGTAAACAATTTAATGAATGTACAGAATGTTTTTAGGGACTCTATTTATTTAATGGATTCTGTAGTAATGAAATTTATTGCTAAGAGAATACTTACTTAGACCAAAATGAGTGCAAAATTGAATGTCCTTAAAATAAATTTAAAAATGTAGAGACTAATACATGCGATCCTTGCCATTTCTCATGCAAAAGATGCACAGAAGCAAACAATATTAAATGCTTGGAGTGCGAAAATGGACTTGTTTTAAATGAGGATGGTAAATGTGAGAAAAAAGTATAAGAAAAAAATGCGACTACTAGTAAGTTGATGTTTAAAGTATATCTTGTAGTTACTATATATATATTAATCGCCTGTATAATTTGCCATTTTTTAGATTATAAATCCTATTTTAGAAATAGGAAAGTGAAAAATTTCGAAGAAGAAGATTGCAAACCGAAAACACCAAAATCTTAAATGGAACCCGTAAAAGACCAGATTGCAATATAAAATGCAGAAGAAAATGTAAACAAAGAAAATTAAAGGTAAAGGCTAAGGTCTAAATCAGATATTCAAAAAGCAAATTAATAAATAGAATAAATAGACATAAAATCACAAAAGAATAATAATAAAATTAATAGAAATCCAAGAAAATAAAGTAATTATATAAGTTAAAGTTAAGCTTGCCCTGATTAAAATACTTAAAATATGTCTGAATTTAAAAATTTTATCGATAAATAGATTATATAAAATAATAAGAATAAGAAAAACAATACAAATGTTATTTATTTAATGATATTTAAAATGAAAATAATAATATAAATAAAGTTAATAGAATAAATATAAATCATAATTATTATTAATATGACTAGAAATTATATTTTACAATTATTGCGAATGAATTTTTGGAAATGTATTTAATATAAGACTATACACGAAATTCTTTAATTAGGGCTTTATTAATGTATTTTAAATAATGCTTATTTATGCTAGTTTGCTTTTATTATAATATGAAAGGACATTTTTATTTGGCAATTTTAATATTTATGTGTATTTTAATAAAATAATGTTTAAAAAAATTAATTGAAAATATAAATCTTTTAAAGTGCCTTAGATACATAGTTTCAAAGTTAATTTTTCTAACGATTTTTATGATATTCTTTATTTTATTTATTTTAAAAAAGTGTAGTATTATTAATGATTAAGAAGATTAATAATGGACTACTTGTTATTTAACAATTTTTGCTATAGATCTAATTTTGATTTAAAATATAATTTCATTTTTAAACTATTATTCCAGTATAAGAAGTTTGAAAGGATATAATGATACATTATAGAAATTCTTAGATTATGTATTTGATTATAATAATATAATAAATTAAATAAAAATAAAAGAAATAAAATGAAATATATTATTCTATATTTTTTATATAATAATAATCAAATAATATAATTAATATATAAATTATAATATTTTAATAAATAAAATAAAAAAGATATAAAAAAAAGTTATAAATAATAATTTATAATAATAATAATAATATTAATAATATTAATAATAATAATAAAATAATAATAATAATTATAATAATAATAATATTATAACATAATTAATTTTTTTAATATATAATATATATTTTCTTTAGAACAATTTATTTTACTTTAGAATATAAATTAATAATATTTTTACTCAAAAAATAATATTGCTTTTCTAATCTTTTTTCTATTGTATATTTTATAAATTATTTTTTAAAATATATAATAAATTTAAAAATATTTTTAAAAATGATAATAATATACAATTAATAAATTTTAATATATTTATTATATTTTAAAAATAATATTGTAAATTAATTTTATTATAATAACTTAATTGTATAAAAAAATAATAATAAATAATTATTTATTTATTTTTTAAGAAATTATGTTTTAAAAAGAATTTTAAAAATTTGCAATCAATGATAATTTTCTAATTAATAATTTTTAAACATTTATAAAATTTACGAATAAAAAATCTTAAATAAAAATTTGAAATGGAATATTTATAATATCGCTAAAAATTATATTTTAACATTATTAAGAAACTTAATTATTAAAATATCGAAAATTAATTCATAAAATTAAACATTAATTAAAGAAAAAAAAAACTATTAAAAAAAAATTATATTGTATATTATTAAAGCGTAAGAAATTTTATAAAATAAGAATTTTAAAAAATAATACTTAAAATTTATTTTAAAATAATATAAGAAAATCCAATAAATTAAAATTTATATGACAAATAATTAACATGAAATATAAGTGGATAATAAATTAAATATATTTAAAGAGTTATCATTTAATTAGTTTAAAAAAATACAAAATAGAATGAAAGTGAAAAACTCATAAAACTCATATATCTGAAATTTAAAATATATAAAATGTAGCAATAAAAATTGTTAAAATAATATATAAAAGTAAGAATATTGCAATTAAAAAAAAAAAAAAATTAAAATCAAAAATTAAAAATAATTTATGTAAAAAAAAAAAAAAAAAATTGATAAGAGGCTCTTAATAAAAGTAAAAAAATAATATGAAATTTTAAAAAATTAAATATTACGAATCAAATTAAAAATATAGATATTTATAATAATAAAAAAATTATAGATAGATATATCATTAAAAAATATAATAAAAATATATCATTTAATAAATTAAATTAAATAAATTAAATTAAATTAAATTAAATTAAATTAAATTAAATTAAATTAAATTAAATTAAATTAATTTAAAAATATAATTAAATATAAATTATTAAAACAAATACTTATAAATTTTATTAATAAATAATAATATAAAAATAAATTATTTATTTAAAAATAAAAATTAATTTATATAATTTTTAATTTGTTTTCAATTAAACCTATAATTAATAAACATTTTTATTTTTATATTCTTAAAAATATAAATAATAATTTATATAAATATTAACATTATAAATAATGATATAAGTTATTTTTTTAAAAATAAGAATAAAATTATTTAATCTATTATCTTTATAAAAATTAAAAATATGTAAAAAAATTAGAATCTATAATATATAATATATAATATATAATATTTAATATATAATAATTGAACATTAACAATTATATATCTTATTTTATTTTATATATTTTAATAAATCATTAAAACCTCTCCCATAAATGTTTAATTGATTTAAAAATCAGCTTATATAAAAACTTGACTCATTATTAATATGCAATTCAGACGAATACAAATAATGTATTTCTCTAATATTTAATCAGGATTAAATTTATTTATAAACATTATAAATAAAAGAGCATCACCTTATTCAAGGATTTTAGTTTTTTAATTTGATTTAAAATACAATAATTAAAAAATTATATACAAAATATAATTTAAACTAAGTTTTTTTTTAGATAAAAATAATAACTATTAATATATTTTTCTTTTTTCTAATTACAAATAAACATTCTTATTATTTCATTTTTTATTATAATGAGTAATTTTTACACTGTCGTACTTATTCTTTGAGTTATTTGGGACTTTATTTTGTAGGATATCTGAAATGCGTCAATTATATGATCTTTCGTGTTAATAATGCATTGTGTTATTCAAATTAGGTTTTTAATCATTGTAATTTTTATTATTGGCGCTTAAAAGCAATATTTAATTATTTTCATGTTTGCATAAATTAGTTTTTTTTAATTAAAAAAAAATATTTAAGTAAAATAAAGTCGTGCGCTTTTTCATGTCTTTTAAGAATATTAAAAACGCTGTTTTTATGAAATTTCTTGCTATATTTTTATAGAAAATAATTAATAAACTTTTTTAACAACTTTAAATTAAAAATTTATTGTTCTTCAAATTTTACTTTTTTTTAAAAAAAAATAATAATCTTATATATAAAGTTTATTTATATGAATTAAACTCTTATCTCAGATATTTCCAGGAGGCTTTTTAATCAATCAAACGACTTCCCAATATTAAGAAACTGCTTAATAAATATTTTTTTTGATTAAAATAAAGTAAGGAAAAACTTAACATAGTTAACTGATCAAAAATTTTTTAATATAAACTATCAGGATTAAGCTGATTTTTAGTTAATAATGCACAATAAATTGAAAAAAAATTATTTTTTGAGTAAAAGTTCTATTTTTTTAAGAGTTTTATGCTATTTTATTTTATAAATAAAATAAAATTTAATGAGTTAAATTATTTTTTATATTTTATATGATTTCTTCTTTTATTTTTATAAATCTTTATATGATAGAAATTAAAGAATTGTATCAACCAAAAATTTTTTTGTATTGGATTAATTTTTTTTAAATTAAAATGTGTTATATATTTATGTAATTTTATTGACTTATGAAAAAAGCTTAATATAAATTTATATATATTATTTATTTCATATTTAATTTGAAAAATAAGCAATATTATATTTTTTAATCTTAATTTTTTCTTTTGGTAATTATATATAAAATCCATAAAATAAAATTTAATTAACGATTATTCTTTATTAATTATTATTTTTTTATATATAAATTATTTATAAGATATAATTATTAATATAATTTAAATATTAATAATTGCATATATATAATTATTAATTATTATAAATAAATTTTTAAAAAGAAAATAAAAAATATTTTTTTATATAATTATATTATTTATGTATATAATAATAAATTTTAATTTTTTTTATTTATATTTTAAATAAATTAATTATTTTTTATTCTTTTAAAAATATTTTATAATATATATATTATATAATTTACGTAAAAAAATTTATCTTTTTTAGTATATTTTTATTAAAATATTTAAAATTTTATTAGCTTTCTAAAATTTTTTTTTATTTTAATTTAATTTTATATTAAACACTTTTTACAAAGATATTCATAAATAAAATAAGATTTTTTTTAAAAAAAATTAACTATATTTGTTTCATATTTAAAATGTATGTTTATAATTTAACTTCAAAGCCTTTCATTTCTTTATTACTTTTTAAATTTTTTTGTATATATAACTTTTATAAATTTTAATAAATAATTCTTTGAATAATCAATTTCAAAAAATTTATTATTTTTATTTTTAAATACAATTATATGCTATTTATATATAACTATTTTTTGTAATTTGCTAGTTAGAAAATTGAAAATAATTTTTGGAACTAACTATATTTCTCTCATACAACATTTTAAAATGTTTTTAGGTTTATATTTATTTATTTATTTATTAACTAAATTAAAATAAGGAAGATTATATAATAATTTAATATGAATAAGAAAAAAAAATATTAAGAATGAATTTATTTTGTTTTTATATTCATAAAAATTTTGTATTATTGATATTTCTAAATAAGATAAAAATATATATTATAATTTATTTAATAATAACTCTATTTTATTATAATATATAAAGATTAATAAAATTATATATATTAATTATTTAATTTTTTTTATTTTAATAGAAATAGAAATATATAAATTAAAAAATAATAATAATTAAACAAACATTTTTTATAGATATTATTGTATTTTATACAAATTATTATATTTAGAAGATTAAAATTTATTAATTTGAGTTAATAATTTATCTGATAATTAGTTAATTATTTATTAGATAATTATAAAATATCGTCAATAATTATATAAATTAAAATCAGTAAAAAATCAATATTTAGAAACTAATATATTAGTGATTATTTAAAAATTATATATAAATTACCTTAATTTTATATTATTAGTTAGAAAACAGGATTTATTTAAATAATATTAAAATAAATAATAAATTTTATAAATATTAAAATAAAAAAAAGAGAAAAATAATAAAATTAAAAATAAAAAGAAAATACAAAAAAAGAAAAATGAAGAGTAAAAAATTAATTTTATTAATTTGTTTAATTTCTATAATCCAAAAAATAAATACATTCTAATATCCATTATAAATATATTTATATTGGTACCACATTTCTGAAGAATCAGCCATAATAATAAGACCAATTAATGAAAATCCAAGATAATATTATTATTATTGTATAATAAATGATGATGGTTTTATAACAAAGTAAATAATTCTAGATAAATTGATTGAAGCAGTCGATGAAAATGCCTATTTTATTGAGTCAAAATTAGGTCGACCAAAATTATTTCTATTAAATCGTTTATAACATAATTACTAAATAATAGATTTAATAGATCTTTATAATTTGGAAAACAATGGTATATACAAAATTCCTCCTTCAAAACTTTATCTTTTTCAACATATGTAATAGAAAAGGATAAAGGAATTAATATTTTAAAA